TTGTTCACAACATGTACATTTGGCTAAGTCCTTAAGGGGTTAATATAGCAATAACAACAAAAACAAATACCCTTAAGGGTTAACCATATAACATTCCAGATATATTAACCAATGGGATCAGTCCTTGTACTATGTCCCCTCATGTGACCTAAGCCACTCCCTCTTTCTTTGCTGCTGCCTCAGCTAAGTACCACATGACTGCTGACCCACCAGTCCCAACCAACAACCCGTTGCACCACAATAATACACGTGACCCCTCATTCTTGTGGATAAGGGCAACGGCCACAGCTTTATTTAAATTAACAATTTAACTCAGTCCAAATCTGCCAGCTGTTGGGTGTTTGCCAAATAGGCAGTTCTCACACGCATTCGGTGCCATGAGCCTCGACAGCCAGCTCCTCGCCATCAGCTTCGTGCCAGCTGTCGTCTCCCCAAAGTTCCTTTCTTCCTCTGCACTGTCCAGGGAAACCTCCACCGCGATGACCCTCCTCACACACTACACTGCGCGGGCATCGTGCCCCCCTGCCAACAGCGCCTCCTTCCTGTTTGCAGTCCCATGTTAAAGATGTCCAACCCAATGGGGGACAGGAGCACACCATCTCACCTCATTAGTGCGTCATTGTCCCCTTCCAACTCAATGTGCCGTACTACTACACCACCCAGGTGGCGCACGAACTGGGACATGGTCATATTGACCTTCCGCCTATAGCGCTCTAGGGCCTTACCCTTTCCCTCGGTTCGCCACACCTGGCGAGGCACAATCTCGGACCAGATGAGGGTCAGGTCCCCGAACAATGCGAAACAGCGGGCCACATCATGCCGCATCGCGTGCACTAGGTCCACCGACCATCGCCGTCCGACATCGTTCCTGCCAACCACACCACTGGAACAGGAACGACAAGGCCGATAATGTTCTCTCGGCCGCTGCTGCTGACTTACCATCCTCGCAGAGCAACTCCAACAAAGCCAGCGTAGCCGACAACCTACCTTCCTCCAAGGACAATTCCCTACCCCTACAGACCTCCGTCCATCTCTGCCACACTGCAGCATACGATCTCCACATGGACTCAGCCAGCGACCCCCTCACCAACCGACTCAGATTGAGGAAACCAGGTCCCAGACTCCCGCTGGGCATGAGGTTCAATGCTGGGCCGCCTCTGGAGCCGCCTCTTGAAACCGGTCCCACTGAAACCGAGAGAGTGAGTCGTTCTGCACCCCAGGCACGTGCCGCTCAACCAACCACAAATTCTACCCTAAACTAAGCAAGACTAAGCGCCTCAGAAGCGACAAAACCGGAGAAGACGTAGACCGGTTGATCACATGGACAACACTCATGTTGTCCATGTGCACCACCACCTTACGGTTTGCTAGCTCCGACCCCCATGGTTCCACGCCACTACAATGGGAAAGAGCTCCTGGAACGTTAAGTTACCTCCCAATTCAGTCTCCAGCCAGTGGCGGGGCTAGGCCTCCGCGCACCATCGTCCTTGAAAGTAGGCTCCAAAGCCCACTGTCCCGGACGCGTCGGTGTATAACTCCAAATCCGTATTGGACACCGCCGGGCGCAGCCAGCAAGATTGCCCGTTGTACCTACCCAAGAATGAGCTCCCCACTTGCAGATCCTCTCGCTGTCTGCGGGTGATCCGAATGAAGTGAAACGGCTGCTTGACTCTGACAGTCGCTAATGAAAGGCGCCGGCAAAAAGCCCTACCCATCGGTAGCACCTGACAGGCAAAGTTCAGATGCCGCAGCAATGCCTGTAACTGCCGGAGCTGAACCTTTTTTTGCTCCTTTTACCGAATCCACCAGACACAGCAGGTGAGACCGTTTCTCATCCGGCAACCGGAAAACCATACTCCGCGAGTCCACTTCGATACCCAGGTAGGACAGAATCCCCACCAGACCAAACGTCTTCTCCGCTATTGGCACACCAAACCCCGACGCGACAGCTCTAAATGAATCTAAGAGCACCATGCAGTCATCCAACTCCCGTGGGCCCACAAACAAGAAATCATCTAAATAGTGAGTTAGCGATGCTAACCCAGAAACCCGAGCAACCACCCATTCAAAAAAGGACGCGAACATTTCAAAATAAGAACAGGAGATAGCACAGCCCATAGGCAAACACATATCAAAGAAAAAGGAACCCTGAAACTGGCAACCCAACAGGTGAAAGCAGTCCGGGTCGACCGGGAGCAGTCCGACTTGGCCAACTGAGCTCCCCTCCCTGCCTCCCGGACCAACTCCAGAGCCCGATCAAAGGAGGCATAGCGAACTTGCGACTCCTCCTTGTCAATGTCATCATTCACCGACCCGCCTGACGGGTATGACAGGTCGTGAATGAGACAAAAGGATCCAGGCTCCTTCTTAGGGACCAACCCTGGATACACGCAAATTGGGAAATGGCGGCGTATCAAACGGGCTGGCCATCCTGCCTTCATCAACTTCTCCTCCAATATCCCTTCTTTACCCACCACCAAACACGGATTGTCCACTAACTAAGGGGAATCCGAATGCACAAACGGAATCCAAAACCTACCGAAAACCCCTGCAGTAGGACCTCTGCCTCCTTACACTTGGGGTACCTGTCGAGCCAAGGGCGCATCCTTAGGACGCTCACCAGAGTCCACTCCTCTAGGGAGATCCTCCCTAGTGGGCCTCCTACCTTGCTTACCTTTCTTGCAGCAGCGCAGGGCAGGGTGGGCCTCTCCACAATGAGAGCACTCATGTCTGAATCGACACGATCCAAACCACTTGCAATGGCTCTCATTGTAGAGCCAACAGACGCCCCTGCACTGCCCAGCTGGGTCACTGGCCTGTGCGCCGGCCGCTCCAGGAAAGGAGGACAGACGACTGGGGGTCATCAACAGGAGCCAAAGGCTCCTGTCCTGTACTCCAAAGTCCATACCCGGACACACCGCCATCTTCTGGCAAAATTGTTGGTCATAGCGGAACTAACATTGACCCCCATAAACCTTATACGCCCCCCGTATAAGATCTAAATATCCGAATAACGCTGGTGCCTTCTCAGGGAAGGCCCGCGTCAGCACGCTTGCAAATATTGAGAACCCTTAAAGCCAGTTCCCAAATGTACGTGGCAGCTGCTTGCTTTTTTCGCCGTCCACTGCATCCCCCGTCGCGGTCTATCCACGGACTCCCGGTCCGGAGGGACCAGGGACAGTACGTCCACGTACTCACCTTTTATGATCTTCTCCTTAACCTCTAACGCCACATGCATACCCAGAGGGGACATCTCGCAACCCGACAAGCACACCCCCAGAACACCCCCCCCCCATGCCTACTCTGTGTTATGCTACTAGGGTTTTTAGAATTGGAACTCAACTGCAGCTTGTAGAACTCCTTAATTACAATAGTGAAGAAACGGAGAATCTTTAAATTATCAATACTGTAGCTTTAAGAAAAGAGAGGATTGCTGGCAATTAGAGAATCAAACAAAGTTTTAATGATTGTGATAAACTTAAGTGAAAAGCATATAGGTAATAATTCAATAAGAAGAAATTGCTGGTTATAGCAAACAATACAATGTTCATCAATAAGTATTTCCTCAGAGATGTATTGAATAATATTCTTTAGGTTGATAGGCATAATCTTCAATAGAAATAGTATGCAGGTAGCAGAGAATATTTGCAAAGCAAGAAACAGTTCATAGTGGTTAAACTTGATGCGAGTTATCCTCAATATAATTAGTGTGTATGCAGCAAAGAGGATTTGAGCAAGCAAGAAACAGTTCATTAATAACTGAGATTCCAGATAATAAATTGGAAGTTATACTTAAGATTAATGTGAGTTGTCCTCCAAGAGATCAGTAATAGAGTCTACTTGTTAAATGGTAAAGTGTCCGTTCTCCAGTAATCCTCTAGCGGATGAAGCATAATCCTTTTATCTTCAAAGGTTTAGGAAGGCTTGTGCGAGAAGCTTGTGGAGCCGGCGTCTATACCCGGAAGTAGGTCCCACAATCACCAAGCGCTCTCTCTCTCTGGCGCGGTCTCTCTAAGTAGTGTCAGAGAGCCGCGTCAGAAGGGGGCGGGGCCAGCTCCGCATAGCGGGAATGTCGAACCCGGAAGAGATACAGCATGACACTCTGATTCAGGGACTGGGAAGGAAGCGCGCTAGCAGCTGGGCTGGGAGCCTATCTAACACTGCCCTCAGCAACCCCAGCACCTCTTCCCCCCCCAAACCCACTACTCCCACTATGCCCAGCCAGCGCACCCCACGCGCTGGCGCAACACTCACCCTGAGATGCCTCCTCCTTAGAACCGGAACTGGACTCTGTGGGGGTCTGGAACCCGTGGTCAGCCTCCTTGCCTGACCCCAAGCCGCTGTCTGTAGTACCTGGACCGTCATGCCTCTGATTCCTGCAACCGGGTGTCCTCCTGGGAGCTCTTTGTGTGGTTTCCTGCGCGCCGGCATCACGTACGAGTCTTGTGTGCTCACGCCACTTCAGGCCATGCGCACGTCACGCGTCATATGTGCCGACGCAACTTCCGGTCGGGCCGGAAGAGAAGCTCGTGGGGAGCGAGAACTTCCCGCCCTCCCTTCACCATGGCTTCAGCCGCCATGTTGGGCCTGGGTGCCCTCACCTGCCTCCTGCCCGGATCCTCTGGCTCCCGAACAACGCTGGCCGTTCCTGGTTCACAGCCGAGCCGAAACATCTCCTGGAGCCGAACTGGGTGCGGTGATAGACGCGACGGAGGCCTTGATCTCCTGGCCCTCCGTCCGTCTCAGGTTGCAGACTGACCGGCCATCTCATCCTAGGGGACACTCCTCATGCCCGACACCAGCTCCTCCAGGCCCCCTTGTCGGTGGGTCTCCAGGTAAGACTGCAGGAGCCTCTGCAATGCAGCTCCATTGGCAGCCATGACAGCAGCAATCAGATTGTCAGTAACAGTATGGATTTGTCGTTTAGGTGATTTAATTATCTTATTTTTTTTTTATCCCTAAATGTTTTCTTTTCTGAATTACAGGGGGCAGTCAGGAGCCCTCAACTGATTCTGCTGACTGGTAAGTCCCCTCCCTCTCCCTTTCCTTAAGAACCCCAATCTTAGCAACATTCTAACTTCCATGATCCATCCCACTATCTTGGGCAGCAGTCATGTTCCCCCTTCCTTATTGTTCCAGGGGGAATCTCTTTTTTTCAGCTCTAAAAAATTGTGTTGTATTTACTCTTATTGTTTAATATTACTTGTCTGCTAATTTGTCTATCATTTTCCTGTACATTCTTCTAGCTTGTGTGTTCTCCATTTGTCCTCAGTGCAGGGTACTTGCCCCTCCCCTAGGGCAAGCCCCATCCTGCACTGCCGTTTCGGGTTGTTTATAACCCGTATCTCCCAATTTCCCACTGGGTGGGGGATGATCCCGGGACCCCAAGGTACCCCCCACCCCCTCCTCACCTCCCCAGCTCAGACAGAGTAGCTTAGCCGCCCAATGGACGGCTATTAATATAACCGCCACTTAGACCGCCCGCACATTCGCGGTTCGCTCCCGCGCATCGCTGCGGCCATCTTGTGGTTGGAAAATGTGCCGCTCCTTTCGCCCACAGCCCGGAACGAGTGGCGCGAGCTGAAGCTACCATATTATTTGTGCCATTTTTGTGATTTGTGCCTCACTAGTTTGAGCCTTGCCCTAGGTGGATGTATATCTGTATACAGTGTCGCCATGGGGGTGATGTCAGGCACCCTGTCTCACTCTATCTCATCCGCTATCAGGGCATCCAGCCGAACCCCTGGCTCAGCACCCCCTATATCCTCTGAAAGCAAGCCAATGGTCCCTAGCGGCCGCAAGGCTACATGCAAATTGCACTATCTACCAGGTGCTGCCTCCAAAACCAGTATGATGGACAGGTTGCGCCCTGTTGAGTCTGAGGACATGGTGCTCCCACGTAAAAGAGCCCCCCGCTGGGCAAAAGCGGTGCGGAATTGGAAGAGGGCAAAAGCACTACCTGATTCGTCCGACTCTGATTCGGACTCAGAGGAGGTTTCAGAGGGGTCCGATACCATCGACCCGGTCTATTCAGATAACTCGTCCCCCGAACGCAGCAAGACTGCACCTCCAGCGATAGACGCTGAGCAAGAGATGGATGAATCATTGTTAGATCCCCAAGGGGAACCCCTCTTTGACCCTGACACCTTGCACAATCCGTGCTCAGCGGACTGGTACCCCACAACTCATGTGGCCATTTACATGGCGACCAGGGTGAGGAAACCCCTCGACAAGGCCACAAGGAACAAGCTGAGGGCGGAATTCCCACACCCCACTGTCTTAGACATGGCCTGCGTGACCCCCGAGGTGGACCCCAAGATCGCTCAGTTCCTGGGCAAGTCAGGATGGAAGGCCAAAAGGGGACTGGACTTTTCCCTAAAACATTGCCAAGACAAGATCCTATACATACTCGGGCCTATAGCCAAAATCTTTGACATGGTCGAAGCAGTCCTTACTGAGGGGACCTCAATTGATTTAATGGCCATCAAAGGATGGATCCAGAGAGGCATATGCCTAATTGGAAATGCCAATACCGCTTTGGCCACAGAACAGCGTAAAGCCATATTAATGATAATTGAGCCAAAATTTATACATCTGGCAATCTCCGAGCCTGGCACACAGGCAAAAGGTCTCCTATTCGGAGACGACTTTGTCAAAACCCTGGGCAATAATGTCAGCACATTCACAGCACTAGATAAGGCACAACATAATATGAAGTGGGTGTTCTCGCAAAAGGTTTTCAGTGGGGCCGGCAGACAGTGGGGCCGTCTGTCCGGCCGCCACTCCTGGACTTCGTTCCGGGGCTACCGAGGCTCCGCGTACAACAAGGTTCCATCTGCCCGAACCAAAGGCACAGTCACCGTTCTTCCCGACCAGGGGTAGGTCGTGGCACCCAGGTGGAACCAGGGGATCCTCCTATGGCCGTCGGCCTTATGGTGAGTCATTTCCCATTACAGATCCGTTCCTTATCACATGTGGGGGGCAGATTGTTTCATTTCCAAGATCCTTGGCACAAACTAATCTCAGATGCTTGGGTCCTAGAGACCATCCTAAGCTACCACATCGAATTCACACAACAACCAATTCAATTCTCATTACCACATCGGATTGTTTTTTCCCCACGAGACAAAAATCTGATATCAGAAGAGATTCGCACACTAGAGGAGAAAGGCGTGATCTACAAAGTCTCAGCTACCGTCCTAAGCAACATCTTCCTAGTACCCAAGAAAGGTGGGGTAACGAGACCAGTAATAAACTTGCGGCCTCTCAACGCCTTTGTCACATACCATCACTTCAAGATGGAAGGGATACACTGCCTCCGAGACCTGCTAAGACTGGGAGACTGGATGGTAAAATAGGTCCTCCAAGATGCATACCTCACGATACCGATCGCCGAGGAATGTCACCACCTACTTCAATTCCAATGGGAAAACACTATGTGGCCTTTCCGTTGCCTCCCTTTCGGCCTGTCTTCAGCCCCGTGTTGCTTCACCAAGCTGCTGAAACCGGTAGTCGCTCTTCTTCGCAGCAGAGGTGTATGTATGATCATATACCTCGACAACATGCTGATCATGGCCCACGACACCCAGCTATTGAACCAGCATCTATCCTGGGCGTTGATTCTTCTGCAAAATCTGGGTTTCCTAATCAATTGGGACAAATCAATCCTGCAACCTTCCCACTCGATAGAGTTTCTGGGCTTCGATATAGATGCAATTCACGGAACGCTCAGTTTACCTACCACGAAGGTAAAACTCATCAAGAAAGAAATCCGGAGGACATTGACACGACCAGTCTTAACCCTCCGACAGGTAGCCAGGATAATCGGCCTGCTATCTGCCTCCATACAAGCGATCTTCCCAGGACCTCTCCATTACAGATCCCTGCAACAGCTCAAAGCCACCCACCTACGCTTGGGTCAATCCTATTCAGATTCTGTACCTCTAGAATACGCAGCAAAAGAGGAACTGGCATGGTGGCTTCAACACATGGAAGCATGGAAGGGCAAGGAATCCATTATAGAATCCAACGCGAGCAGACTTGGATGGGGTGCTCATTGTGGTCCCACCTCTACAGGTGGAAAATGTTCTTCAGAAGAAAAAGAACTCCACATGAATGGTTTGGAACTCCTAGCTGGGTCATTTGCCCTCGGAGCCTCCTCGGACACACAACCAGTTGTTCCATACTTCTGCGCATGGACAATATCTCGCTACTTCAATCCCTTGGGTGGCACGAGATCCTCAATACTCACGAACCTGGCGAAAGGATTTTGGCACTTCTGCCTGAGTCGCAACATATCAGTACAGGCGGAATACCTTCCAGGAATCTCCAACACCGTAGTGGATTGGAACTCCAGACACTTACGAGACAACAGCGCCTGGCGATTGAATCGCACAATATTTCAGAAGCTCCACCAACTCTGGGGACCGATGCACATTGGACTTTTTGCCTCCCGGCTGAATGCTCAACTTCCCTCATTCTTCAGCTGGAGACCGGACCCAGACGCCATGGCAGTGGACGCCTTCCTACAAAACTGGCCGAACAACAGGCTATACGCCTTTCCTCTCTTCTCACTCATAGCGCGAACTCTCCAACACCTACAATGCTCCCGAGCATCGTTGGTTTTAATAACACCATTCTGGACGGCACAGCCTTGGTTCCCTTCACTCATGGAAATGTCTATCGACCTTCCCAGATTGACCCCACAATGCACGGAACTATTATCAGACCCCGATGGGAACTCTCACCCACTTCTAGTGCAAGGCCACCTCAGACTTCTAGCATAGCTCCTCTCAGGGGACCCTGGACCATGCCGAATGTTTCACAAACAACTTTGGACTTATTGGCAGGAGCTTGGGCCCCAGGAACAAGACGATCCTATACTCATGCCTGGAACACATGGTGTAGTTGGTGCGTGGAACAACACGTGGATCCCCTACGTGCTCCTGTAAATCAGGTCCTGGGTTTCCTTACTACCCTATATGATCAAGGCTTGGCTTACCGCACCATAAACATCTATAGATCATCGATTTCAGCTGGGCACAACGGATGGGAGGGTTACACTTATTGGTCTGTTGTCTTCTACGAGGCATAAAATTTGCACGTCCACCACAACCCCACTACACGGCCTTATCGGATCTTAATATGGTCCTTCGTTTGTTGGAAGACTGACCTCCAAACTCGGATCTCACACTCAAACAAGTGTCCGCAAAATTAGCTATGCTCCTGTGCTTAATTTCCTGCAAAAGGGTATCAGACGTTCGAGCCCTGGATATCGATGCATGGTCCTTCACCCCACATGGCATGGTGTCCTGTTTAATATCACCAGACGTACGAAGTCTAAAATCACGTCAGTCTTCTATCCCTCCTTTCCTCACAATGCTAACCTGTGCCCAGTTGGCATGCCTGCGGGAATACAAACTGCGGACCCAGTCATTCCGGAACCCAACAACACACGACCTGTTCTTGGCAGTGAGGAAACCTCATCAGTATCCACGGGAACTCTTGCACGCTGGGTGAAATGGATAATGTCAGCTGCTAACATCGACACATCAGTTTACGAAGCGCATTCTACTAGGGGCGCTATGGCCTCTAAAGCATTCTCCATTGGTTGTAAATTGGAAGACCTCCTCCGCATAGCTGATTGGTCCCGAGAATCGACGTTCAAAGAAAACTATTTTTGTCCAACAGAACATATCTCGTCTATGGTCATCTCACAGCTTTAAACTAGCCTAATATGAGCTATACATGTGCAATTAGTTTCGGGCCGAATATGTATTCGGACGAATTTCTGGAAATTCGGACATTCGGGTACTTCCAAATGTCCGAAGTGCCGAATTACCGAGGTCCCGAAGTTCCGAAATTACCGAATTTCCAAAGTGTCGAAGTTCTGAAGCATAGTTTTGCCTAAGTATTAATATACTTACCCAGTGGAAGAAGAATAATGTTACACTGTATACAATTGTAAATAAAAAGTATACAAACATAGCCAGGATTCAGCTGTAAGCATTTGCAACACTTACAACAATCAAGTAACATACATTCATATAAAATGTAAGTTACTATGACAGGAATGAATAAGTAGATAACTCCCTAATTCCCACGGTATTAGGGAGCTATCTACTAAAAGGCTGAAAGACCTAAATTGGTCTTTCAGACAAATTTACTAATACTAAGTAAAGATTACTTACCGCAAGTAGGGGCATGTCTATTAAACAGTGAGCAGCATAAGGCTGCTCACTGTAAAAAAAAAAAAAAAAATGTCCCCCCTCCCCCTCCTAACCTAATGTCCTCCTACCTTTCCCCCACCCCTCAGCGGTGGGTGGGGGCCCTAAATACTAATTGGGGGGGACCTAATGTCCTCCCCCCTGCCCCCACCCCTAAGCGGTGGGTGGGGGCCCTAAATTAGAATGAGGGGGGGAGGACCTAATGTCCTCCCCCTGACCCCCAGCCCTGAGCCTGTTTTTTTTTTATTTTATTTTTTAATTCCGTTGGGTATTATGGCTTTTTATTTGGCCTTTTTAAGGCTGAAAAAAGAAGATTTTAGAAGAAAGAAAACATCAAAAGGTAAGTTTATTTGTATTTTTTTACAGGTACTTAGTTAAATGGTCCCCCCTCATTATTTTTAGTGTGAGGGGGGTAGGTAGGGGTTAATTCTTTGGGGGAGGGGGTGACTAGGGATTTGCGGGAGGCGGGGTTATTTTTTATGTAGGGGTGGGGGCCAGGGGGAAGGACATTAGGTCTCCCCCCCCTAATTAGTATTTAGGGCCCCCACCCTCATTCTAATTTAGGGCCCCCACCCACTGCTCAGGGGTGGGGGCCAGGGGGGAGGATATTAGGTCCCCCTCCCTAATTAGTATTTAGGGCCCCCACCCACCACTCAGGGGTGGGGGCCAGAGGGGAGGACATTAGGTCCCCCCCTAATTAGTATTTAGGGTCCCCACCCACCGCTCAGGGGTGGGGGCCAGGGGGGAGGACATTAGGTCCTCCCCCCTCATTCTAAGTTAGGGCCCCCACCCACTGCTCAGGGGTGGGGGCCAGAGGGGAGGACATTAGGTTCCCCCCCCATTAGTATTTAGGGCCCCCACCCACCACTCAGGGGTGGGGGCCAGGGGGGAGGACATTAGGTCCTCGACCCTCATTTTTTAACAGTGAGATGCTCCTACTCGCGGTATAGCGAGTAGGGGCACAATTTACTAATACTAAGTAATTTTTACTTAGTATTAGTAAATTTGGCTGAAAGACCAATTTAGGTCTTTCAGCCTTTTGGTAGATAACTCCCTAATACCATGGGAATTAGGGAGTTATCTACCAAGCGGCTGCAATAGAAATTCAGAAGTTCCGAAGTCCCGAATTTCGGCATGCCGAACTGAACCGGAAAATTTTCCTTGAGCCTCCGTGTCCTTTAATAAAATTACCAGATTTTACTAATTACATGACGTAAAGTCATGATTTTATTAAGGACACCGAGGCGAGTATTAGCCCGCCCAATGATAGGTAAGCCATACATGTATCTTCCCACCCAATTGCTTATAAACAGGTAGGAGTGATTTGGATGTTCAGATGCAGTGTTATATACTAATAATAATAATTTTAATTTTGAATTTGCTGGACTTAAGAAAAATGTTTCAGATATGAACGCTTTTTAAAAAACTTGTACAGCTTATATGCATGACAACGATATTTGAATATATTTTACCATATATCTCTCTGTCTCTTACAGCTTAACCCTGTGATGGAATAACCGGGATCATCCTCTATCTCCTAACTATACCGGAAGACTCCCCGGAACCCTCTACCGGAGATTACCCAAGTTTAAGAATTTTTCCCGTCGATGTGTTCAGCTTCGGCATCAGCTAGAAAGAGGGAGTGGCTTAGGTCACATGAGGGGACATAGTCCAAGGACTGGTCCCATTGGTTAATATATCTGGAATGTTATATGGTTAACCCTTAAGGGTATTTGTTTTTTTCTTTTATTGCCATATTAAAAATCGCCTCCGTGTCCTTAATAAAATCATGACTTTACGTTATGTAATTAGTAAAATCTGGTAATTATCTGTCACTGTTGAAAGTGTATCAGATCACTAGAGGGCGCACAAGGAAATGTTTTACTTTTTCTTAGAAAGTCATTTTAATTGTTACATAATTATTGTATGTTTATTGTATGTAAGTGTATTGTCCAAGTATTCTTTTTATCGATAATACAGGTGCGGCTCAAAGTACAAGCAGAAGATTTAAATCCTTTTTCTAAAATGTTTCAAGACTATTTGAAATTGCCTGCCTCATGCAAAAAATGGGAATTTATGGGCATTTTTTCACCTTTAAATATTAACATTGTGTTGAAATCAACCACTGTTTAGTTTACAGAGTAACCCGATATCCATACTAACCCACATTTTATAAACTTCTGGGACTGTGAGTGCTTAAAGTGATCTGCTCTCACAAGTGCCAACCACTCAATTTTGCAAGGGAGGTTTTCTTGCAAATTAGAAAACAATTTTGCAAGACGGGTCCCACAACTAGTCTGGGACCCCCCTTGACAAGCTGAATTTGAGTGCCCAGTCACAACTGCAACCGTTGTGACCGTGGTAGCTCCAGCACGGCAACGTCGTGCTCGATAAAACTGAAAGGGACACTATAGTCACCCAGACCACTTCAGCTCAATGAAGTGGTCTGGGTGCCAGGACCTCAGAGAAACTGCTATGTTTACATAGCCGGGTTATCCAGCCTCTAGTGGCTGTCTTCCTGAGGCGCATCTGCGACGCTGGATTGCGAAAATTGCAGAACGGAGGCGAAAAATGCTTTCCTATGGACTGTTTGCGCGCGTGGCTCTTGCTGCGCATGCGCATTCCTCTCCACTCGGGAGCTGAAGTCGGCGGGGGAGGAGAGGTCACCAGCGCCGAGGGAGCCCAGCACTGGATTAAGGTAAGCTGCTTGTGTGTAGGTAGCGGTTATCGTGTGGTGTGAACCATAACAATCCCCAAAATCGCTCAATTCCCCCCCCAATCAAACTAGGAAACGTATATGTGGTATAAAAAGGCCACAGCTTTATTTATAAATTAACAAACAACTGTAAATAAACCAACCATAAATAATTTAGGTGTAAGTATGCTTATCTTCAAACTAGTCCTTGCCAACCGTACTACCAAAACTCTAGGGTACACCCCCCACCAAGGCATCGGCCCTCCCCCCTCGTCCAAGATACCTGGCCTTCACTTTGGCCTTCAAACTCCACATGCCAACCCCTGGCCACCTTTCCTGGCACGGAGGGCACGCCCAAATGCCCAAAACATTTTCGAGGTCAGGGGAGGGACCCGACCCAGCATCTTTCTTTTTCTTTACTCCTCTTCCCAATAGGTTCGGCAAGGACCATACCCGCCACTAGCCCCAGCTGCATTTACGCCTAAATCAGCGGGCGCGACCCCCAAGCAACGCCATGGCCTGTTCCAACGCGTCCTGTAGCGCTAAATTAAATAAGTCCAAGCCTACGTCAGTTAGATGGACCCTGTCCGGGCGAAAATAGATTGCTGCCTCGCGCTCAAAATACGGTGTCGCACTGTTAAGCCCCCGACGCCTAGGACAAATTTGGAAACCCGCTTATTAATCTTGACCCTGCAGCGCTCAATAGCACCCTGATCGCGTGCGCACTTCCAATAGTTCCTAGAAACGATATCCGACCATATTAAACAAAGTCGTGGAAAAGCACACGCAAGCGCGCCAAATCTCGCCTGATGAGTTCCCCCAGCCCCCACGCAGGCAGGGACCCCAGATCGTTCCCCCCCAGATGCACCACCAAGATGTCCGGGGCTCCTAATAAAGTGGATAACTGCACGACCTCCGGTAATAGCTGACCCCATCTCATGCCCCGGAACCCGAACCACCGGACCTCCGCCAGCTCCCGAGGTATTCCGAGCCGTGTCCCACCCTGGCGTACCCCAGCCCACAGGTGAGCCCAGTAGATGTACGAATGACCGATCAACCAGATCCGTCGGCCAGGCCCTGTGGAGAAAACACAAGGGGGACACCGATCAGACGTGTGGGCCGTACATAAGACCGAAACCTCCCCGATTCCCATCTGCCAATCCTCTGAATGGCCTGGTCCGAAAAACCTAAACGGGAGGCTTCAGTTGCGGCCCCAATTCGAAAAGAATGTCCCCCAAAGTCTGCACTCGAAATACCCAGTTGGTCGAGTGCCAACCGAAAGACCCGAAGAAATTGGAACCGAGAAAGGAAGGAACCGTCCCCATGAATAAGTAGAGGGCCCTCAACGTCCGGGCGACCAAGACAATAAGACTGAAAAGATGCGACAGGGCAGACAGCCGAACCCGGAATAGCGCGGAGGGTAACCCATGCCCCTTTGCCGAAGATGTCGGTTTTGGACCTTCGTACCAAAAAACGCACTGAATCCGACACCACAGACACATCGTTGAACAACAAGCCCCCCGGGATCCGTTTGCTAGGGCTCACAAGCTCACCGATTCGAAGGGCGCCGAAAAAGGCGAAAGTAAAAGCCAACTGGAACAAACGTGCCTCCGAATCTGAAAAACAAACCCTGGGTAAGACCGACGCAATGCCTACTAGCAGAGCGCCAGAAACCGGCCTCTGAGAATCCCGCAGGTGTGGGCCCTTGCGCCAGCAGCGCATAGCAAGCCGAACCATGCAGTCCTTGGTAACGTCAGGCACCTTAGTCAAGTTGAACCAGAAACTAAGACCGGATAGCTTCCCTGAAACCGTAGCCGGAGAACACCCGCTAGCCTCCCAGAACCAGAGCAACCGTAAGATCCCCTGAACCCTTGCAGAGGTCGAATCAAACCCACCTAGGTCTTGTTCCAGAGCAACCCAGTCCCCCCATGCCTTACCGTACCGAACCCAAGTTGCCTCAGACACCGAAGACCGAATCCATTCCCTTATCCGCTCAGGCCAAGGGACCATAAGTCTCTGGGACAGGGGTGGCCTTCCGTGTCCGCTTCCGGCGCGGCCAAACGAAACACCTGCCAGTGGAAACGAGAAAGAGCATCAGCCGTGGTATTCTCCACACCAGGGATATGCACAGCGCGGCAAGTCACATTAAAAGACAGACATTGTAAAACCAAGCGCCGCAAGAGCCGAACTACAGGAGGGGAGGAGGCCCTTAGCCTATTAATGGCCTGGACGACGCCCAGGTTGTCACAGTGGAACACAACACGCCTGTTCTTGATCTCTGGCCCCCAAAGATGGATAGCCACCACAATGGGGAAGAGTTCCAAGAAAGCCATGTTTTTGGTCAGGCCAGAGGTGAACCACGATTCGGGCCAGGGCTCCGCACACCATTGCCTTCCCATGATAGCCCCAAAGCCCGAAGACCCCGCGGCATCCGTAAACAGGTGCAGCACCGAGTTCGTCACCTCGGGCTGCTGCCAGTAGGACCTGCCGTTGTACCCATCCAAAAAGACTGCCCATACTGCCAAGTCCTCCCTGAGCGCCTTGGTCAAGCGGACGAAGTGAGACGGTTTCAAAATCCCAGCCGTAGCGGCCGCAAGGCGCCGGTTGAACACCCTGCCCATCGGCATAATCCGACAGGCAAAGTTCAATTTGCCCAATAGGGATTGAAGTCGCTGCAACGTAATTTTTCGCAAAGTGGTCGCCACTCGCACCACCTCCCGAAGATCAGCCAATTTATCCAATGGAAGCCGACATTCACCAACAACGGAATCGATCTCGATCCCGAGAAAGCACAGGCACGTAGAAGGGCCAATTGTTTTTTCTGGTGCCAGCGGCACTCCGAACTCGCAAGCAACATCCGCTACTGCTTGCAGGAGGTGCGCGCATATCGGGGAGCGCGCAGGGCCAACACAGAAAAAGTCATCCAGGTAATGAAGCAAGGAATCGTAACCGGATTCCGCTCTAACTACCAATTCCATGAAGGAACTAAAACATTCGAAGTAAAAACAGGATATCGCACAACCCATCGGGAGGCACATGTCCACGTAATAATGACCTTCGAATATACAACCCAGGAGGTGGTGGCACTCCGGGTGAACCGGTAGGAGGCGAAAAGCCGACTCAATGTCAGTTTTTGCCATAAGTGCCCCGGGGCCAGCAGCCCTGACCATATCCACCGCCGCGTCAAAGGACGCGTAGGAAACGCGGCACAATTCAGCGGCAATGTCATCATTCACCGAGCCCCCTTGTGGATGCGATAAATGGTGAATCAGCCTAAACTTGCCTGGTTCCCTTTTGGGTACCACACCCAGTGGTGAAACCCTCAAATCAAGTAGTGGAGGCTCTCGAAAGGGGCCCGCCATGCGACCCAACGCTACCTCCTTAGCCAATTTTTCCCTTACCACCCCCGGGTGATCGGCAACTGATCTCAGGTTCCGGCAGAAGCCGGAGACCTGCCGGGCCCGGTGAGGGATCCAAAACCCTTGTCCAAAACCCTCCAATAACAAGGCAGCCACCTTCTTATTGCTATAACGCTTTAGCCAAGGGCGCATCGCGTCTACGTCCACCGGCGTCCTCGCCCTTAGCGCCCATGGCATCTCCTTTGTCGCCGGTCCTACCTCGCTTGAAGCATTTCGATGCTGGGTGGGAACTGCCGCACCCGGAACATTCATGCTTGAAGCGGCAGGCGGAACCGAACTTACATTGGCCGTCGTTATATTGCCAACAGTACCCAGTCCTCCGCTGAGTGGCCGACGCTGAAGATGAGGACCCAGCGCCGCCCCCCCCAAGAAAGGACGAAAGGCCCCCTTGATGCGAAGCTGGGCGGGTCATGATGGCCAACCACAAGCCGATATCCATTTGAACCCAACTCGTGTGAGGGCGAACCGCCAAACGTTGGCGGAACTGTTCATCATACCGCCACCACCCTAGCCCGCCATAAACCCGACAGGCATTCCATATCATGTCCTGGTAGCAAAATAGGGAAGAGCATTTACTGGGAGTCTTTTC